TAACTTGAGTCCACCTCGGCGTATTTCGCACTTTTACGGAAGGGAATTTCCAGCTTGCCCTAATTAACATTCCAAACATTGCTTACGCCTCCTCTAAAACGATTTATCGTGGACTTGGATATCGGGACATATACTCGCTCGAGACATAGCGCTTTTATTTCGTACTAGTCGCAGTCAAAATACGACGCAAAATAAAAGTAGTGACCGCAGGGTTTACTATTCTTTGGGTTTAAACTAGGATATGGTCAACTTTTTCCGCAAACCAATCTAACCCAACGCGGCACATCAGTTAAAAAGGAGTCATTTAAATAGTGTCCAAATAGCGTTAATATCAGAAATACCGCCTGTTGTGGACTTAATGATTAAGCCACATATTAGTTTCTGCCTTTCAGAATCTTGGCAGGTGAAAAACCAGACAAGGTTTGTGAAATAATTATGGCGGGCGGAATTTCTAAGACGATGAGACTACTCGTGTCAGATCGAAAGTGACGTCGCCTCTTTTAGAGCGCAGTGAAACGCATTTGCTTCACCCCGAAGAGCACTTTCAGGAATTGGTCGAAAATGTCCGTTCCAAGATTATGTCGACATAAAAGGTATAAGACGCACTGTTCTGATTGGCTGGAGTCATCTCCTAAAGCAGTCAATTATTTCTGCTCTCCAGAGCTTTCAGAAGCATTGCTTACATCTCTCCACAACGACTGTGCTGAACCATATCTTCAAGTAGCACACTTCAAGATTGAGTTGTTCATTCCAAGTAGTATCGCATTACTTAGTTAGTAATTTTGGTTAATAGTTTTAACTCGGAAATTTCACCTTACAGTATTTTACATATTTGCAACCAAAGGAATATTATTCCATATGACGTCTTTTTCCTTTTTTTCAACGGTTCCTTTGATTTACAGTATATTACAAAACTCCACAACTTGGCCCAGAAAGTTATGCTGCTTCCAGATGCCGAGTATTTTGACCTAATACGACTGGACTGTGAGGACGTCAAGGTCGGACTTTCGAAGGAGTGTCAGCGTCTAGCAAATACTCTTTTGGAGCGCGTAGCTACAAAATTGCGACAGACTAATAAGGAGTAAGCGTAACGTACTCCCTAAATTAATACTACTGTTTTTATAAAGTAGATGTAAATGTCCTACGTTAATTTAACTTGACCCAATTGTGAAAGGCGTCGGCTGCCTCGGTGGGACTTGAGCCTACGACAGAAAGGGGGAGTCTTAGTATAGCCAAAGTTTTGAGCTTCAGACCCTAATTCACACTTCGGTATTCATTCGATGAATTCTAGATAAATTGCTTAAGAAATTCTGCTTGGGCAGTCCACAGACTGTATCAGAATTGACGGATCACTTGACACTCGGAGATGGCCCCTTAGCTCAGGTAGTCAGAACGTTGGCTGTTATGGGTTCGAATCCCTCGGATTCTACTGACGTTTTTGCAACCGAGTTAAATGAATTAATCAAATCAAACCCAACCCCCCCTGCTAATTATCGTTATTTTTTATCTCCTGTTGGCGATGTAATGACATCCCCCATTCGGCCGATGGCCTGAGAACGGAAACAACTTGGCTGAACTATTCCGCGTAGTACGTTAGCGATAGTCGGAAGCCAATATTTTTTGTGGAGGAAATGCAGAACCTGCTTTTTGGACTGACAAGGAATCGGTCTGCGGGTCAAAGGCTAAATAACATGATTTTTACAAGTTTTTAGTCAGCAAGACAACCCACGGGTATTAGTGAGCACGTCAGCAATATGCGATGAAGTGGCTGATGTGCCATTCAGCGAAACAGCCTGGCAGACGGCGGGTTCATCAGAGCTGGAGGGGAGGGGAAAAAGGACTGGGGAATTTGAATACTGTTGATAATTTGGTGTTCGGTGCTTGCTTCAAGACAATGTCTGATGATTTGATCGCTCGAACAAAAACAAAAGTTTCAAGGAAAGGGTCCTTTGGGAAAATGGGGAAATTTATTCAGTGAATTTTCCACATTGGATCCCCAGGTCGTCGTCAGACCTGATAAAAATGTGCAAAGAACAATTTACAGTTCAAAGTGCTGGTGTATTTATATACTCCTCTAGTGTGGGCGCTAACTGGTAGTTGCAATTTGCGTCACGTCGTGGTGGACATAATTAGCGGTCACAATGACGTAACGGCTAATTGGAAACTGTAATTTGAGTCGGTCCGGGGTCAGTCCAGGTCATCCGGTGTGGGCACTAATTTCGGTTCACGTTGGTCCATAGTTGACGGCTGTAGTCTCTTCCATCGTTCTTTGAGGTGTTTGTACGCTCCAGCC